AACAAGTGCGCTACGATATTCGAAAAACATACGTTAATATACACATTTTTAAACAAAGTGGATAGGTATGTCTATCATTCTTTGTTGCGAAGTACTCACAAATACGGAATGTTTTTATTTGTTTATAAGATGAAACGTAACCCATCGTTTTATGCATTTACATCTTTCGGAATGCTTTGCGATTCATATCGGCAAGGTAAACTAGTGTTTTTACTATAAAATGCCCTTTGAACTAACCCTGTATATTGCTAAATAAATTAGTAGTAATGGCCGGAAATTAGGTATTTTTGGATAGATAAGTAGACATTCTCAAAAACTACTTGACAAATCTACTCCAATGGTGTTGTGGTTATTTAGAAGTACAAAACCTACGAATTTGAAGAATTTCAAGTATCTGCGAGAAACCATCGTTGCATCACCAACAAGTGCCAAAACCTGCATTTGCGGCCATAACTTTTTTGTTATTAGTCGGATCTTTTTACATGTGGTCTCATCTTGTAGGTATCATAAATACCTAAAAATCCTATATGAAGAGTTTTTTTGTTCCTGTCAACACTTTCGATTGAATCCCAAAAAACCCGTTTTCTCATTCTTTGTTGGCGAATAAAAAGTTTTCCCAGAAAAATTGGTGTACCCATTTCATGCGTCCATGTGTTAAATACCCCCTTGAAGAACTTGTACCAATAAAACCAGACTGTACAATTATTTTGGGGACATTTGCTAATATGATTAGACTATAAAGTAACAATCAAATAAGTAACAAATAAACGGTAAAACCCACAAAGGTGGAACCTTGTATGTGGGCTAACAAAATAATATGTAAATATTTTAAAATTAGTTTACAAATTTTTGTATATGCTCATAAATTCTGTAAGTATATGCTCATAAATTCTGTAAGTATATTCTAACCACAATTATTAATAATAATAATCTAATAACTAATTGAAGTTTTCCCACAAAAATGGGAGTACCCATTTTATGCGTCCACATTTTAAATACCTCCTTGAACAACTTGCAGCGATAAAACAAGCTTTACAATTATTTCGCAAACCAGAGGTATTTTCGTCAAATACGATTAGACTATTGAGCAAATAAGCGTTATTAGTATTATGTCAGATTTCTTTGATTATGATTTCTAAACCGTTCTAGAAGCAATACACACCCTGTATATATCAGGTCACGACATACCTTCCAGTCATTTAATATTTCATTTGAATACTCGAATGCAACGGCTACTCGATAAATCTTCTCTCGCAATGATATTGAAAGGAAAATCGCAGCAGCAGCCAGAATACGAAAATTATTATCAACGCGGTACATTCGACATGTAATTTATGTGTATAGCATTCGTCAATAAACAAATTTATATACTTGATTCGCTACTATTTACCTAAAAGAAAATATTGGTACAGATACATTCGTCTAACTGCATTCACTTTTAGTATACGTTGTTATTCGGGTATTTCTCCCGTAATAATTCGATAGCATATCAAGTATGACACATTTCACATTTATCGGTGCGGCGCGGCCGATGAAACTTATTTTTGTCTATCCTAAACTGCTAAAATGTATTTTACTCCAATAAACACTATTATTAGTATTATGTTATAACATCCAAATTCCGAAAGAGCGCTGATTTCTGAAATTTGCTTGCAAGAATCTGGCAACCAGGCCGCTTTACACCTTGGCACCGGTGGCGTGGTTGAATAAATTTTTTCTTAGTGTTTCCATATTATTTCGTTTATGTTTTGAACAATATCAAAACTTTTTTACATATCAACAGGATACCATTGTTTACATGGTATGAGCCAAAGAACTGTTACTGCGGATTGGTATACCAACATTTGTTTGCCAAAAGTCATCACCGAGCTTCGAAAAATCAACCCCGAAAGAAGAATCATCCTCCACCAAGACAATGCAAGCTCGCACACAGCTCAAAAAACAAGGCAGTATTTAACGGAAGAAAACGTGGAATTATTGGACCATCCTCCATAATAGTCCCGATCTAAGTCCTAACGATCTCTTTACTTTCCCGAAAATTAAAAACAGACAGCGTGGTCAAAGGTTCCAGTCACCAGAAGAAGCAGTTGACGCATTTAAAAATGCCGTTTTGGACCTGCCAGCAAACGAGTGGAATAAGTGCTTCGAAAATTGGTTCGAGCGCATGCAGATGTGTATTAATCTTCGTGGAGAATACTTCGAAAAACAATAAAGTCATTTAAAACTACCTACCGTGTTGTTTTATTTCCATATGCAAAACTTAAAAGACATCCCCCCGTATGAACAGCAACTGCCAGCGTCGGCGTGCCGGCGATACCCCGAGCCCGCGTTCTGTCCTGTCAATCCTGCACTTGTTCGTTAGCTATTGCAACGCTTGAGCGGCTGCAGCTGTGCCAAGCTGCATCTTTGTTGTACCGGGGCGTAGATGTACTACGAATACGGTATAGTATCTTAGGGTACTATGTTTGGAATGTTGAAGAATTCACTCTTTGGTAATCATGGTTTTTTAAGTCTTCCTCATGAAATGGTTTGATAGCATTACCAGTGTAACATATTTCCCATTTATCGGTGCAGCGTTGTATTGTTAAGGTACGATTCCACCAAAAAGGTTCGCGTCATATTAATTTATATACTGAAGATTTTGTCCTGAAGTACAAAAATACTGAGTTGTTACTGCCGTACGCCCTTTTTAAATTCTTACACCGATACATTTATTCTGTGATTACAATTACAAAGCATATCATCGATCACGTTATTTAACAAAAATAGTTAGTTTTCACGTTGTAAAATACTTTATATTAACTACATTTCATATGCGTAAAGACAGTAAATCAATTTATCAAAGCAAAAAAACAGTAGTCTTCACTGGGGGCATGGTGGCAAGTGGGCGTTACTTGTAGCTCCATAGGCGTGGACGCAGGGCATTTGGTAAACGGGTAAACAGTATTCAAAGCGTTGCATTGTCTACTTGCGTTACTGAATTATTTGTGTCAATAATGGAATCGAAGAAAGGTCGAGTTATTCACAGCCAGGCGAGAGAAGTAATAGCCAAAGTAATAAATGGATGTGATGAGGAAGCCTCGAATAATGCTCTCGGTCACTCACTTGTTGCTCGAAATGCTAGAGCAGCATTTTATACTGGTGTGAGTTAAAGGACCATATCTAGTATTAGAAACAAAGATCGGGAAAGGAAGAGCTCCAAATCAGGACAAGCTCTGTCTTCTCCTGGAAAAGAGAGGCCTGGTATTTCAATAATTGAGAAGACAGACAAGGCGGATTTTCACGTCATACCCAAGACGGTAGGAAACTATTGCCAATACAAGGTGGTGCCAACATGTCGCAAATTGCTGGTAGTCCGTAATGAAATGGACTTTCCATATAGCGAAGAAACTTTGAGGCGGCTGTTGAAGGCAAATGGGTTTTACTGGCGCAAATGCCCCCAATAAAACGAAAATTTTGATGGAGAGATCTAACAGTTTACACTGGAGGTTCAAGTATTTACGAAGCATTAAAAAGTACCGGGAAGAAGGAAGACACAATTTATTTGGATGAAACATGAGTCGATAACGACTTAACAGTAAAAAATGTTGGCAGAGTGAAGAAGTTGTGGGTGTTGTAAGCAACATAAGTTCAACAGGTAATACTAGACTTCCTAAATAAATTTTTTTGATATAAATTATCCGTGTTTATTTTCAGAACGCCTGTCTCATTTTTAAAGCTGGCCAAGCTACTGGGGATCACCATGGTCAAATGAACCAGGAAAATTTCACACGATGGTTGGCTGAAAAGCTCTGTCTTATTATTCCTCCAAATAGTGTGATAGTATTAGATAATGCCCCTTATCACTCAGTTTTAGAAGTCAAACCACCAACAAAATCATCGTTAAAACGGGAAATAGTCGAATGGTTGGTCAAGAAATGCATACCTCATGATCCTAGTTTAAGAAAAATGGAGCTGTATGAGAATGCTTGTTTACACAAGCCTCCACCTGGCTGTAAGAATTATAGAATTGATAATCTTATTAGAAGCTTTGGCCATACTAAACTCCGAACACCACCTTACATGTGCGAGTTCAACCCTATTGAGCTAATTTGGGCACAGGCGAAATATTTTATTAGAAGCCACAACATTAGCAGCGAATTTACCCTGAATACCTTAAATGAAGTAACCACTAATGATGATAGTGACAATGACTATGTGATGCCACCTCCTTAGAGTATTGTGTTTGTGTGCTAGGGATTCAACTTCAGATGACCGTGGATAAGGGAAATTGTTGGTTACCAATTACTTTCAAGTGCGGGGATAGTTTGGAAGTGATGAATACGAGCAATTTTGAGGCGAACATTTGACACTGAGACACCATCACGGTAAGACGACGATCTACTCAATTGATTTTCATTCAATATGTTAATGACCAATAATTGCTTATTAATTTATTGTTATATTTTATTTTCACTTTCCGCACATTAATTCACGCCGCCTATGACTTCGAACCACCTATCTTCCGTCCCACGACTCTCGCAAACTCTCGTATGGCAGACAATATTTTGTCTGGGCGTAAACGGACTGCGAATGGGGTATAATAACCGATATCACAGATACGTAATATCTCAACGAACGTATCACCCGTCAACAGTTCATAAACTGTTTGGCTAAGTCCTGCTTCATTTTCAGTATTTATTAGGGATACACAGCGTATTCTTCATGTAGTTGCCAGTCAACAGCTAATCAATTTGCGAAACGACATGTCTTAGAAATCATCAGGGTTACCAGTTACAAGACACAGAAGGTGGCTGTATGTTAACCGCTCTCGAGATTAGATAAGGTTCTCGTCGGTTAGACATTTTGACGTTACAGAGATAACATATTTTGATTAACAAGAGGTTCCAGAACATGTCACTAATGGACTAAGAAGAAAAATGGTAACGAGCAATAATCTATGACATACATATTTTGGGGATAGTGTTATAGCACTAAATGTATTATGTACTCGGAAAACTATGGTAGGAAAGAATAAAGAGGAGGTGCAAAGGTTGATAAATCCATGCGAAATTAATGTTGAAATTAGAAATATTAAGGAAACTAAGAAAGGAAATATTGTACTACAGGAGATAGAAAGACTCAAGAAATCAGCAGAAAGTAAACTAAAAGGTAAATATGATGTTAATTTACCAAAAAAAAAGTTACCGAAAATTAAAATTGTATATGTGGGTAATAAGGAGATCGAGAAGCTTTAAGAAAGTATAAGGAAGCAGAATACATGGATGCAGTTGAACGGACACTTTAAGATACATTATATTAAAAGACATAAAAATAAAGATACCTCCACAATTTATGCGGAAAACTTATATTCTAAAATAATGAAAAATGAAAAAAATTACATAGACTGGGAGCATCTGCCAGTGTATGAGGATCTGACTGTATCTAGGTGTTTCAAGTGTCAGGGATTTCAACACAAAAGTATCTAAGTGTCTTAGAAAGCAAGTACCTATGTGGAAACTGTGCAGGGAGTCACAATGCCACAGAATGTGAAACTCAGGAGAGGACGTGTGTGAACTGTGACACGGCCAATAAGTTGTATAAAACTAAGTACGCAACAGATCATAGCGCATTAAGTGCAAACTGTCCATGATTAAAATACCAAATTGGAATCTTGAAGTCCAGAACTGACTATAGTAAATAAGCATAATGGTAAATCACGTAAATGAGGAAATTCTAGATATAATTGATGAAGATGATGAAATAATGGACAGTGAACAGATAAAAACATTCTTGTCACAGAATGCACATTCATTAGCTGTAACTGTGATTTATGAGAAGTGTCAACAGAAATTTGGATAATTTTCTGGCTTATATGGTGTCATATAAGCTAAACAGCTTTGACGTTATTGTTTTCACGGAAACCTTTCAAATTGTGTCTATTAAGAACTGTAATTTACCTGGCTACCAAACTTTTTATAATGAAGGTAATTACAATAAAAATGATGGGGTTATTGTTTTTGTTAGGGATGGTATTAGGGCGAATTTCTCCAAGTGCCAATTAAGTATATCAAGGGCTAGTTTAGGTAGACTCACGTTTGAAAGGGATGGGGTTTTGTATGGTATAACGTGCGTTTACAGACCACCTCCAATATCAAAGAAAGACTTCACTCATGATTTGCACACTTATTTGAAGCATATTAGTTCTGGTAATATTGAAATATTTCTGGGGGATATTAACATAAATATTCTGGATAATAAGGACACTCTGGTGACAGAGTATCTGTCAATGATGTCTTCTCTTGGCTTTAACGCATTTATCAATAAACCTAATATACTGTCTTCGGGAACTTGCCTGGACCATATATCTGTTAGTCAAAAATTGAAAACCAATTGTTTATTATTAAATTCTTATATACTCAATGAGGAAATAACGGATCACAGTCTAACAGTGCTTTGTATAACTAATAAAGCATGACCTTCTGGAATTTTGGAGGTTGTGCAAGTTGTAACAAGAAACCAACTGAACATAAAAAAATTTAAGAAGTTTTTGAATGATTGTGATTGGAATTTGGTAACTAGTGTGAATGATCCAGAAATAGCTGTAAAGTTATTTTTGACTACCTACAGGGACTTGCTGTTGAAACCAACAGAAACAATAATTGCCAAAAGAGTATCAATTCCATAAAAAATAAAACCATGGATAAGCAATGGAATTATTTTTTCAGTGAAAAAAGGGATAAAATGAACAAGAGACTTCTAGCACATTTTAGTTTGTCTTTGGAAAATCAGTACAAGGATTATCGTAATAAACTAAATAAATTAATACGCAAACAAAAGAATAATTACTATAGAATGCAAATGGAAAAAAATAAAAATAACATGAAAAAACTGTATGACGTCATAAAGGATGCAACGTACGAAAAGAGTTACAAAGGTCAATCTTATATTTCTATAAATGATAATGATGGCAACCAGTTTACTGATTCTATTGAAATGGTAAATTTTTTTGTAATGAATATTTTATTGATGTGGGTGTTAACATGGAGTGGACAATTCCCACTCCTCAATCTGAGTGTAAATTAGCGCACCCAGTCCAGAATTCTATTTTCTTAAGTCCCATTACAAGGAATAAGCTAATAAAACATATCGCATCTTTGAAAAGTAATAGTACTCCTGGCTATGATGGCATTCAGGTTGAAACTATAAAGCACCACATTTTGAAATTTTAACACCTTTATTACATATTTACAATTTAATTTTGGTAACTGGAATTGTCCCGAAAGAGTTTAAAACGTCAATAGTTACCCCGATACATGAATCAGGGGATACTACATCTATTGGAAATTACAGGCCTATAAGTTTAATAACAAATTTTGCAAAGTTATTTGAAAAATGTCTTAAAACTCGATTAAAGAATTTTTTTAAACTAATAATGTATTATCAGATAATCAATTCGGATTTCTTGATTGTTACAGTGCAGTGGATGCTATGTAGAAATTAATAACTGAGATTGTCAATAATTTGAATAATGGCAACAAGAGTATTGCTGTTTTTTTGAACCTTGCTAAGGCTTTCGACACGGTTCCTCACGATAAGCTAATCGAAATTCTTCACAGCAATGGTATAAGACCACAGCTGCTAAAACTAAATAACATAACAAGCAATGAAAAAATAATAAAGATTGGTGTCCCGCAGGGTACTGTTTTGGGACCGCTCCTTTTTATAAATTATATAAATAGGATGCTAAAGCTAGTCACGGGGGGTTCAACTATTTCTTATGCTGACGATACTGTACTTCTTTATGCAGGTTCTAGTTGGGAGGATGTAAAGTGTGAAACAGTGTATGGTCTAGGTATGGTTAAAGACTGGTTACAAGAGAGTAAACTAACATTGAATTTATCTAGGACAAACTATATTGCGTTTTCGTTGACCAATAATAACAGACCAAATTACAGCACTATTGTGTTGGATGATAATTATTCAGCTAAGGAAGTGTCTCAAACTAAATATCTTGGAGTCATTATTGACCAACATTTAAAGTGGCAGCCGCATGTTGATTATGTATCGAGTAGGGTTAGAAAATTAATCCATAAATTTTATCTACTGCGTAACTTTCTCGATAAAAAAGTGTGAAGTGTGTCGCCTAATAGTAACGAGTTTTGTAATATATGACGTCACATGACATAATGGGTAACCTACCAATAATTTTCAATGTCACACCTCATACGCTGTTGTAGAATGTCAGTCGGCCGGCACGTGTCGGATAATGTGGAGGTTATCAGTAGGAAAAAAAGATGAAATCTCGGGTTTTCAATAGTTGATAGTTTTAAAATCTCCAAATTTCTTCCAAAATCCATCAACGCTATTTTTAAAAAAAAACTTTCAAAATGATTTGCCATTTAATAATAAAATAATTCCGTCCTAATCGAACCTCATCAGTCCAGTTTTTAATTCGTCGACTATGTGTTCCCTTCACTGTTGTTTAAAAACAATTTCAGCAACAATCTCGCCGACTGAGTAAGTAAATATTTCTCTCCTAATTGCTATTTGTTGCTATTGTTAATAATTTTTTCCAGCTCCAGACGATGAAGACATAGATCTTCGAAAGCTTGAGAGTTTAAGTTATAAGAGTGTACTTTTGCAATACTTTGCCTTCTACCCAAAGAAATTAAAGGATATCTTCTCCTAACAGTTAAGGCAATTAAGTATGAATACTATATATATATACGTATATATATATATATATATATTATTTGCAAATTCTACCAAAAGTGACAGGTAATGCATTCAAGAGGGTAATGCAGATCCCAGAGGTGTAGACTTTTGTATATCAGTTTTCAATAATAGCTCATGATAACAAGATTCAAATCGATCCATTTCATTTCAATGATATTAGAAAAAACATGCCAGTCAGCTACTTATTGACCAGCAGTTGCATCCCTTTAATTTTCCATACATATTTTGATCCATCCTGTCTCCTTTCTGTCACCGCATAGTTCTGGCTACCTATCAGAAAAAAATTAAAAATTATATAAAAATCGATTTTGCTAGTTTTTCAACTCTTAAACACTGTGACGCATATGACTACTAAATACTTATCTCAACTTTTAAATCTATTTAAAGCTATTATAAGGCAATATTTGAAAGAGCCTCATATATAACAAAACTCGTAATTCTCCACACAAGTTCATTTGCTTCAAAAGTTTTGAGTAAAATTGGCACAATTTAGATAAGAAAATGTTTCCATCTAGCATATTTTATCTTTTTGTATAATGTATTTTTGTCTCCCACTTCAACACATAGCGAAACAAAATAACCGAATAAAACCTATTGAATCTTTTCGTATCAAAATCGACGATAACAGCATGTAATTTTCCATAATCAAAGCCTGATAGCAAAATGAACCGACCTGATTGAAATGCTGAATAGGTAATCGATAAAGTAATTTCTCTGCAGTTAATCTTTCTACAATATTTCTCTATCTGAACGGCAACAGCTTTCCGATCGATTAAAAATCGTTTAAGGCCTTCTAATTTCTAATTAGTCGCTGTTCTAATAACCTTAGCACCACGTCCAATCCACAATGAACGGATGTACGGGTGCCTGAAGAAAAAGTAAAACAATATCCTATTTCAAGGTTCAATAAGCGGTTAAGGCATTGTGTATCTGGTGAATTTTTTCGATCACGAAAAATTTTTATAACAAGATTGCCTTACTTGAATCATTAAATTGGTGACACTGTTTTTACTAATATTTTCTTTAAAGACATAACAACTTATAGTTCGTTACTTGCAAAAGATTTGTTTTGGTGAACATCAAAAAAAAATATCAGACGAGGAACGTCCGCTGAGGTATCTATCGATTCACTACTTGATTTTCAAGCTACTGGATTTTATTTGAAATCAAGGCAAGCTCAAGTCAATTATTAGATAATAACAATATGATATCTAGACAGGTAGTTTTTTCGTCTGTTTGCCAACTACTTAAAAATTCAAGTGGACTCGATATTACTTGTTAATTTTTGTAATATAAGTACGAGTAGAGTACACACCGGAAAATACCTACTGTATTTGTCACGCGGTTCAGAGAAAACCATACATATTGAACAGAATAATTTGTTCATCGTATAATAATAGAAAAATAAATCTGAAAACTCGGGTAAGAAAAAAAATTACTTCATCAGCTGTCAAAAAATAAAAAATTCTAAATTAGATTTTCATTTGCTAACCACGAATTCAGACACATGAGGGTTCCTAAGGGATTTATAATGGTGGTGGAAATTAGAAACAATGGAAGTGACATTAATAATAAGTTGCTTTTCTTTAATGTCCCCCTCCCCTTTGATTTTTTGAACGGATCAATTCAAAAAATTAAAACTGGAGGTAATGAAATTGATGCATGGATAACATATTTTTGAGTAAAATTGACAGATGAAAATGTCAAGATGGCCGCTGGGCGCCATCTTGGAAAACAATTATAAGAAAACGGGGGTCTTGTGGCACATCATTTTGAAGCTCCTGGCGAGTACTATATAACCCTAGAATATAAAGTCAATACCTTTACCTACAACAAAATGATGGTACATTTAATAATTACCTGAATACATTGACATTTAACTTGATAGTTCGAATAAATAAGTTGAGTTCAGTTTAGAAGATGCTGAATGAAAATGGTTGTCTTGAACTTCTTGACACAATAACAGCCGGTCCGCAATTTCGCGTCGAACATTTTCAAACATAGTAACATCGATATTTCTACAAATATTTGTTATTCTCAGCCGTATATCCATTATTGAAGCAAGTTCAGTTTTTTACACCTTTCCTTTCAAATAGCCCCATACAAAAGTCTAAAGGTGTCAAATCTGTCGAGCGAGCTGGCCATTCAACAGGACCTCGACGCCCAATCCAACGACCGGGGAAATTGTTCTCCAAATAATTCCTACCTTGTCTGTAGTAGTGTGGTTCCATCACACTACCACAGAACCAACATCTGGAATACAATATCAGTATCGCATTCAGTAGGATTAGCTTCGACGATTTCGGTGATTAGAGGGTCAATGGTATTTTCCAGGATATCCAAATACAGTTCTCCGGTTAAAGTTTGTTCGATGAATAGAGGCCCCACAATATGATTTCCCAATATCCCAGTCCAAACGTTATTTTTTTGTGGATATTGAGTATAAGTTTCCCGGAAGACGTGAGGATTGCTGTCACTCCAATAACGACAATTTTGTCTATGCACATTACCGTTGAGAAAAAATGTACATTCATCATTAAAACAAATATTTTGGATATAGGTAAGGTGCCGTGCAATGGTTTCCGCCATAGTCTCGCAGAATTCTGTTCTTCGATCAGGGTCATCTTCAGTTAGCTGATGTACCATTTGAATTTTGTATGGGTGATACTTATTCTTTTTCAAAAATGTCCATACAGTATAAGGATAAACCTGACATACATTCGCGATGGAGGAAGTAGACTGTTGGGGATTTACTGTGCTATCACCAATTATTTGGTTTTCTTCCGGGATGGTCGGATGACCTGGGGGCTTTTTGTTGTTTAGACTACGAACAGCTGTAAATTTAGATACAAGTGCCCTTAAATATTTTCTACAGATATTACGATTCGGGAAACAATCATTAAAAATCCTTTCGGTCTCGTGAAAGTCGCAGAGTAAATAAAAATCACTTCGATTTTTTCTCCTAATGCACGAGAATTGACCATTTTAAAAATAGTTCAAACAGTATCTAGCACTAAAACCGAAAACTAAATAAGAATATTTTAACTGTACAATGATATTTGTTTTCGTACTGATATTCTTGCCACTGTCAACAAAAAATAACAAAACAAGGTATTTACTTTATATTCTAGGGTTATAAAGTACTCGTCAGGAGCTTCAGAATGATGTGCCACAAGACCCTAGTTTTCGTATAATTTTTTTTCCACGATGGCACCCAGCTATCTTGACATTTTCATTTGTCAATTTTATTCTAAAATATGGTATCCACGCATCAATTTCATTACTTAATTTTTTGAATTGATCCGTTCAAACAATCAAAGGGGAGGGGGACATTAAAGAAAAGCACT